CAGGCCCTGCTTGCCTGGGGATCACCTGCAGCAGCTGCAGAACAGTAAGGGTTGCTACCAGTTTCTTCTTCTGCTATCTTTGTCCCAGAAGGATACCCACCAAATGTCAGTCTGATCTCTCCTTTATGAGGTGACTCTTTGGATATACGGGGTCAGGGAACTGCTTGAGGAGATAGTCTGTCCTTTGTAGGAGCTCAAGTGCTGAGCTGTGAGCTCCGTTGTTCATTCAGAGCTGCTGGGCAGGTATGTTTAGGTCTGCTGCAGCAGAACTCATAAACCCCATTTTTTTCCCCAGGTGCTCTGTCCCAGGGAGTTAGGGCTTTACAGCTAGTGCTCGACTTACAACCACGGTCGGGACCTTGGACCGGTCGTAACACGATTTGGTTGTAAGTTGAGTAGGCTATATGTACAGTTGAAATGGTGCACGCGGAGATGGTAGTTCTGCCGGAAGCTGGTCCGCACTGTCGTACGCCCAGCTGGGCAACGTTTGCGCTGCCAGACGTGGAGCAGTCATGGCTAGCGATTGTGGTCGTAAAGTCGAATGGTCGTAAGTTACATAGGTGGTAAGTCGACCAATACCTGTATTTATGAGTTTCCGCTGTGCTGCTGCCTTTTTTTCAGGGCTGCCCCGCCCAGCAAGGAGGCAGCTTAGTCAGTGTCTGCCTGCAGAGGCTTTGCTGAGCTGCTGTGGGCTCCGCCCAGCTGCCATGTGAACTTCCCTGCAGTCCTGTTTATATGGGTATAGTTAGAACTGCCTTGGCAATGGTGGCCCACCTCTGTAATGGCAGGTTGCCTCGACAACAGGCGGGCTACCTCAGCAATGGCAGACTACCTCTGTAGTGGTGGAGTGCCTCGGTAATGGCGACGCCCCTCCCCCACAGAGCTGGACCATCCCGGGTTCAGCTGTGCTTGCCGTGAAACTCTTAACCCAGAGCATTTCCAATTGCTGTTTTTTTGTGTGTGGGGGTGGGACCAGCTGAGCCTGATTACCTGGCTCCCTGCCTCAGAGCCTTTTTTTTTTTTTTAGTTGAACGGTAGACTCTCTCCCAGGAGTTCCAGTCGCCTGTTGAAAAGGCACCGGGATCTGTGTGATTTCCCCTGCGGCAACTCACTGCGCCAGCTGAAACAGCTGCGCTGAGATTCTTGGCACTTTTTTTGCCCAGGAATCTCCTGGTCTGGCTCCCTGTTTCAGTCCCCTTTTTAATCAGATGAATGGGCGACTCTGCCTTCCCGGGGCTCCAATTGCCAGCTAAAAGGGCACCCAGACCAGTGTATTTTGTACGGAGAACTGCCGTGCTGGGGCGCGGGCAAAGCCCCTGCGCCAGCCAAAACAGCCATGCTGGCCACCCGTGGGGTTCCTCTGCCTGGGAATCTCCTGGTCTGTGGGCAATAAATATCCGTCTGGAAATGCAGCATCCACTCACCCTCTGTGCTTTCACTGGGAGCTGCAATCCTGAGCTGTTCCTAATCGGCCATCTTGGATCTTCCCCTTAATACTCTTCAGCTTCCTGTTTTTTTTAGAGCTCCTCAGGTGGTCATTGTGAATCAGCAACCTGCTCTCAGATGTAATAAACACACAATACAGTTTTTCCCTAGAGTTTCCTTATAAGAAGAATCTCACAAATCTTAAAGGAGTGAGACTGTGTTCCGAACTTCACAGAATATCATCTTTAGAGCCAGTCATAGTGGATTGAATCCTTGTTTGTAATGCCTTGTGTTTCATGGTACCCAGAACTTTCCCTTCCATCAAATGGCTGAATTTGATAAAAGAATAGCATTCAGCAAAAAGTATTAATGCATATCTCCGCTGGTTTTTAAAATGACGGGTAAATGAGAACATCTCTGTTTGCTAAAAACCTAGACCAATAATTAACGTATTAATCAACTTTTTTTGGCCACAGACTTTTCCCTTCCTGTCTTTCCATGAGTAAAATTAATTTAGTTTTTAAAATTTCATTTCCACTTCTATTGCATGTAGTTCATTATTGCCTTTTATCACATTTTATCTGTTCTTAAGTTATACACGAAGTCAATGAAAAAACCTGCCTCAGAATAGAGTAATAGTTTATTTCATAGACTGTTTGACCTTTAGGTTCTTGTTAGGGCCAGGCATGGTGGCCCACGCCTGTAATCCCAGCACTTTGGGAGGGTGACGTGGGCAGATCACTTGAATCCAGGTGTTCAGGATGGGCTACATGCCGAAACCCTGTCTCTACAAAAAATAAAAGAATTATTTGGGTGTGGTGACACACGCCTGTAGTCCCAGCTACTGGGTAGGCTGTGGTGAGAAGATCGCTTCAGCCCTGGAGGTGGAGGTTGCACTGAGCCAAGATTGCAACGCTGCACTCCAGCCTGGGCAACAGAGTGAGACGCTATCTTTAAAAATACACACACACACACACACACACACACACACGTACGTACGTATGTAAACATTAAGGCTTTCATTATTTTCAAGGGGAAAAAAAGACTTGTGGGTTCTGGGAACATAGTTGATGGGGCCAAACTCAGGATGGAGTTTGGAGTCCTAGCCTCTCCCTATATTTGGCCTTGTAAGCAGTTTGTACTACAGCTTTTTTGGTTAATAAATGGGCATCTTTATTTTTTTGAGTCATGATATTTTTTAAGCCAGTTAATTAAGGTATTTTTATGTAAGGCATTTTTGTTTATTACTGTTACATTTCAAATGTGTATTTATTTTTAAACTTGCACATTAAAAAACAAAAAAGAGGCTGTAAAAAACCCAGCTAATATTAACAGAACTGCTTTTAGAATAAGGCCATTGCATGTGTACTTTTTGGTATTCAAATAGCAACTAAAACAGTTTGGGATTTCATTCAAGGTAAAGGACCGGGAAATTTTTGGGGAGTCACTCAGTTTAAAGTGGTATTGTTCATCACAATTTTTATCAACTTCTCTTTTTTTTTGAGACAGAGTCTTACTCTGTCACCAGGCGCCAGGCTGGAGTGCAGTGGCACAATCTCGGCTCACTGCAACCTCTGCCTCCCGGGTTCAGGCAATTCTCCTGCCTCAGCCTCCTGAGTAACTGGGACTACAGGCGCGCACCATCACGCCCAGCTAATTTTTGTATTTTTAGTAGAGATGGGGTTTCACCATGTTGGTCAGGATGGTCTCAATCTCTTGACCTCATGATCTGCGCACCTTGGCCTCCCAAAGTGCTGGGATTACAGGCTTGAGCCACCGTACCCCGTCTTTTATCAACTTCTAATTGTAATTTTGGAAAAATTACATACATGTGACCATTGGGCATTTGGCTTTACGTTTTTGTTTTTGTTTTTGTTTTTGTTGCTGAGACAAAGGCTCGCTCTGTTGCCTAGGCTGGAGTGCAGTGATGTGATCTCAGCTCACTACAACCTCCGCCTCCTTGGCTCAAGTGATTCTCATGCCTCAGCCACTCAAGTAGCTGGGATTACAGACGTGCAGCATCACACCCAGCTAATTTTTTTACATTTTAAGTAGAGACAGGGTTTCACCATGTTGGCCAGTCTGGTCTCGAACTCCTGGCCTCAAGTAGTCCACACATCTTGGCCCCCACCAGGCCCAGCGAGCATTAGGTTTTCAACTGTCAGTCTTGTTTGTCAGTACTGCTTATTTCCTTCAATGGATATGCTATTACTGCTTTTTCTTTTTTTTTTTCTTTTTTTTGAGACGGAGTTTCGCTCTTGTTACCCAGGCTGGAGTGCAATGGCGCGGTCTCGGCTCACCGCAACCTCCGCCTCCTGGGTTCAGGCAATTCTCCTGCCTCAGCCTCCTGAGTAGCTGGGATTACAGGCACGCGCCACCATGCCCAGCTAATTTTTTGTATTTTTAGTAGAAACGGGGTTTCACCGTGTTGACCAGGATGGTTTCAATCTCTTGACCTCGTGATCCACCCGCCTCGGCCTCCCAAAGTGCTGGGATTACAGGCGTGAGCCACCGCGCCCGGCCTATTACTGCTTTTTCTAAGCCAAATTCCATTTTGGTTAATCAGATATTGCTAACTGAAATACTTTCCTTTGCAGATATACTTACAGTAGATAAAGTTAGATAAAGTACTTTAATCTTCTTGCTCTGTCTACTGTGGGAAAGAGAATATGCGAGGGCTCTGAGGATCTTATACTGTGCCTTCCTTGTGAAGCCTGTCATCCCTGAGTATCAAAAGCTCTGGCCCAGAACTTTCATAAAGTTTTTGACTGGTGGGAGAAAGTATTCCTATTAAAGAGGGTTTGGGTTTGAAGGGGTATTAATCCAACTCAGATTTCAAAGTCATGTGGTCAAGTAGTTACAAAGTACTTAGTGTGTATATCACCCCATGGTAGACCTCCTGTCCACCCCCATTTCTTTTAAGGTAGATCTCCTGCATGAACTTCCCCCCAGGGTCAGCCCAGGCCATCCTTGGCACACACCCACATCCCTTTTTTCTCTGATTCTCCAAGGCAGTGGTTTGCAGTTCTTTTTAATTGGTGATATTATTTTGTTTTATTTGCCTTCCTAATTGAGTTATACCAGAACCTTAAGAAAATAAAGAATCTCTCTCCTTGGACGAACAGAAAGCTACTACTGTGACCTTTACTTTGTCTCCCCTTAGTACTCCTATGGTATACTCAAAAACAAAAGACCGGCCAGGTGCAGTGGCTCACGCCTGTAATCCCAGCACTTTGGAAGGTCACGGCAGGTGGATCGTTTGAGGTCAGGAGTTCAAGACCAGCCTGGCCAACATGGTGAAACCCTGTCTCTACTAAAAATACAGAAAACAGAGCCAAGTGTGGTGTCATGTGCCTGTAATACCAGCTACTTGGGAGGCACAGGCATCAGAATCGCTTGAACCCAGGAGGTGGAGGTTGCAGTGAGCCCAGATCACGCCACTGCACTCCAGCTTGGGTGACAGAGTGAGACCTTGTCTCAAAAACAAACAAAGACTTATATTCCAGCTCACTGCGTAGAATTTGAGCCACTTGGTTGCCTAGGTGTGGTCACTCATAGCCGGTTTTTTTCTGCAGGATTTTCAGTCAATGCATCATCGGAGCGACTCAACATGGGTGAAATCGAGACGTTGGATGACTACTGAGCGCCTGCCGGTGGACTGGCCTCCCCTCTCCTGTCTGCCGACCATGGAGCCTCCACCTCTGGACACAACACTTACTCACCATTTACTCTCTATCACTCTGCAACAAATCACAGAACCCATCATCTCAGGCTTTTTCTTCTGGCCCTTTGTGTCCAAGATTCTTTAATCCATTTTTGTTGGTGAACATCTCAGACTATAGATAAGCGGACTGGACCGTGTGTCTTGGGGGTGGCAGTTGGGAGTACTCCCCAACAAGGCTGATTTTAGGCAGCATGTGTTCACTGTACTGTGATTTCATCTACTGTCTCCCAGAAAGTGTGTTGGGATCAGCCATTAGCAGCTTGCTTTCTCTTGTCACTTTTTTTCTTCTATTTTGTTTTTTCTTCTTCTTTTTCCCCCATCAGGGCAAGAGGTCTAACTGGTGCAATCATGAAGAGAGTTAATGATTAACAGACATTGGCCAGCAACGAAACACCCCACGGACTGTGACTCGGGTATCTAACAGGCAGTCAGAGCTCTCCCAGTCTGAAAGTTGCATTGCCACTGCTAACTTTGGGATTGCATCGAGAGGCCCTGAGTGGGGTTGTGATGAGGTTGGATTGGTTTGATGTTACACACTCCTCACCTGTTCTTTCTGAGCATCCTTTCTCTGAAAGAATTTATGTTTTTCTTCATTAGATAGTGACTTCTGAGCAAGCTGATCTCCCCTGGCATACTCCAACCTGATTGGACAAAGGAAGCCCTATGGCCTGGGAGAGAGACTATTCTTAATTTTTCTTTCTTAAAAAACTGATTTTTCCCATAAATATTTTTACTTCAGAGGACTAGGACCAGTTTGTTTTGGGCCCTTCTGCTGAAAATTTGTCTCGTTTAAGAGGCAGCTAGGATCTTTACCATATGTATGAATTTGTATAATTTCATTTTTGGATAGGGATAAACTTTTGCTTCCGATAAAAGCCTGGAATTTCATCTGGTTCCTCAGAGCATTGCGTGTGTGTCTTGCTGTAGCCTGGAAAAGGTTTTGTTAAAAGATTCTGGGATGGCAAGTTGCTTGCCTTTTCTGAAAAGAGAACATACAAAACCTGACCATCTTTAAGACCTTCATCCATGGAATCCACTATACAGGAGGATGCAGTGGGCTGGAGGGGATGGGCAGAAACGGGAGCAGGAAGCCTGACCTGGCTTCTTTCTGGTCGTGGCCTCCTAATACCTTTCACTTCAAGTAGAAATGTACTCAAGCCCTATTTATAAACAAATACTCTTCCTGCCTCCACCAAACCCCTACCGAATATCACCTGGAATTGCCACTCACACTGGGTTGGAGTCATTGGGCAGCTGTGCCTGTGCCAGAGGTGCTGTGGTCTGGGCAGCCCCTGGAAAAGCACCTTTGCTTCCTGTCATTGTTGCCTCAGAAGGCCGGAGTTGCTCTGAGAGCAATTTGGGTTTGGAGTATTATATTTGGCTTCTATTTTTATTATTTTGGATCACCATTATCCCTATCCCTTCTTGCCTCCCTCCCTTCAAAACATGTACAATAACTATACAAAGACTGCTACAAAATTGTATATAGTTTTTGGATCAAATAGCATGAGGGGAGAGGAAACCATTAAAAAATTAGGGCTCCTACTCTCCTTTGCTTTGTAAATTCAAAAGTCGGGGGTGGGTAAGAGGGATAGTTAAAATGTTTACAAAACTTTAGGCTCCCTCGGAACTTTTGCCAGCGTGGAGGAAAATAAAAAAGAACTTAAATAAAACCTGGTTGTATTCTGAGTGCACCTCTTGTACTCACCTTTATGGAGACTGAGTTCTGCACTAAACTGTTGCTCTCGGTATCATGGAAAAGCTCCAAGCACCCGAGACATGGAGGCAGTCATGGCTTCTTTCTCTACCAGACCACACAGAACCGGCTGGTTCTGTATTTGAGAATGTAGAGGTCAAGGCAGATGTAGGTAAGTTAACCAAGTATCTTTTCTTTTGACTCTGCCTTTCTGCTAACATGTGGGTCAGCACCTGCCCACATGCCACAGACACACCCCCTCTGCAAGCACGCCTCCAGAGCCTGCCCACACCTCCCAGCTAGACTCCGTGTGTGTGTTCAGGAAAGATGAAAATACATTTTTAAAAATTGGGAGTGGAGTGGGCAGATGAGGGGGAACAAAGTCATTTTGGTCATGGAACATCCATTTGCTTAACCAAGGAGACTCTTCCCTGGGAAAGTTTGTTTCTGTCTCTCTCAATTCTACTCTCTTTCATATTTTTATTTGCTCACCCTTTCACTTAAAGCCACCGTTTTCTCATCCCATTCTAGGAACTTATTTCCAAATTCTCCTGACTTCCTGAGTTTTGGAGTATTTGTTTTGTACACTGTTTGCTTCCAGTGTTTTGTTTGGTTGGCTTTTTTGGAGATGGGGTCTTGGGATGTTGCCCAGGCTGGTCTCAAACCCCTGGGCTCAAGTGATCCTCCCACCTCAGCCTCCTGAGGAGCTGGGACTAGAAGTGTCTGCCACCATGCCCAGCTCTAGTTTTGTTGGTTGGTTTGTTTAAATTCAGAAATTTAAAAACATCCCAGACAAGACAGTTTGATGATGGAGACTTTCCCCAGGCAGACTGGTGTGCTGGTGGCTGCTGTGTATAGCAAATCCCCTCCAGGTGGCTTCCAACAGCTGCTTCGTTCTGTGGGTCAGGGATTTGGGTAGGGCTCAACTGAGTAGTTCTTTGCCTAGGGTCTTCTTTGGTTTTGATCACAAAACCAAAGGCTTTTTCTAGGGCTGCATTCCTGTGAAGGCTTAACGAATTAGATGAGCTGTCCAAGATGGCTCACTTGCGAAATGATGGTTGACATTGGCTGTAGGCTGAGAACTCATCTGGGTTGATGGCTGGAGGCGCTATGTGTGTCCTCTCCAGAATGGCAGCTTGAGAGGAGTTCAAGTTAAGTGGTGGTTGGCTTCCCCCAGAGAACCAGGCAGAAAATGTGTTACCTTTTTTGAGCTCTAAGTTCAGGAGTCACATAGTCACTTCATGACACTGTATTCCATCAAAGTAGTTAGAAGCCCACTCAGATTCAAAGGGAAGGAGCATGGGCCTCTCCCCCCAACTCCCCTTGATAAAAGAAGTGGCAAGGTCACATTGGAGAAGAGCATGGGGGGTGGGAGATATTACAGCCATTTTTGGGAAATATCTGCATAAAATGGGTTTATGCATATACATGAAGGACTTTTTTTTCATTGGCTTTAAGTCGAGGTTTTTGATTTTTGTTTTGGAGATAGGTTCTTACTACGTTGCCCAGGCTGGTCTCAAACACCTGGGCTCAGGTAATCCTGTTGCCTCAGCCTCCCGAGTAGCTGGGACTGCAGATATGTACCAGTACACCCAGCTTGTTTCTGTTTTTTAAATGTTAGGATAGATAATGGTACTTCTGGCTTTATTTAAATAATTTTTTAGGGAAACTATTGTATTTATACATGCATATATTTTTATATATACATATATGTATATAAAAGTATATGTTTTACATTTTCAATATATAATATATACGTATATGTTATATACGTATATATATTGCACCCTACTTTAAAATTGACCTGATAACGAAACGTAATTTTGTATAAAATGCCCAACTGTGCATTAATAAAAGTATGTGAATGACTTTAATTAAACAGAAGTGATTCTTTGAAATGAACATATTTCTATACTGTCCTTCCAATATGTGACAGAGCATTTCCAACAGAGTAGCAGGCAAGCACATTCTTAAGTGAGTAAAGTACAACCAGAGCACATTCCAGTTGGAAGTTGGCCTTATAGTTGATGAGTTTCTTAGAACGACAAAAGCCCAGCTATGAAGGGCAACTTTGGTCCTGCGTGAGTTCAGTCTCTGGTGAGGAAGCAGCAGTGCTTTCTAGGACCCTGGAGAGTCTGGAAGCCTTGAAGCAGCCAGATGTGTCATCCTTACTTGCAGGTGTTGCCTGAGAACGATGGACGTGTATAGCTTTTGGTAGTGCTGGTTCTGGACTGGGAGCCTAAACCCTTCAGGAGGACAGTTTCCCTCTAAAGAATTCATCATTGTGAATGTTTTGCAACAAAAGTAACCATAGCAGTGGGGCACCACATGGGAGAAACAGCACCTGGATGCTGGGAAGGAAGAAGTGGGCTCTTTACCTAAGAGCTGATCTTCCACCTAAAAGCTGTCATTGCGTCCCCTTTTATTGCTGCTAAAGTGATGACATCATGGGGTTGGAACTCATGATCACTTCCTGAGGACTGTTTACTTGTCCTCCAGTTGTAGGAGTGGAAGGTTAGTTTCCCTTGGCAGCAAATTGCCTTTTTTCTTTGAATTCCTCCTTTAACATGAGAAATGGTCCTGGGAATGGACAGTGGGTTGGTATTGGGTTTGGTTGCATCTGACAAAAATGGCAAAGCAATAGTGACAATAAAATAGCTTATTTTTAAGTGAAATAGGTTATTGGTCCAAGGCTTGTGGGGTGGCCCAGGGACCCAGATTCTTTGTTTCAGCATCCTGATTGTGGCTTTCTTTTTCTGGGTCACTCATGGTCCAAGGTGACTCTTACAGCACCAGCCATCATGCCCATATTCCAGGCAAGAGGAAGGAGTGGGGTGAGGCAAACAGCACGCCTTACTGCTTGGTCAGCCCTGTTCGAGATTTTTGGGAAGTCCTGTCCAACGTCTTAAGTCTTATAAGCCAACATAACTACAGTTAGTTGTGGAAGTTTTAGGATTTTAGTTGAGTGCTTTCATCCCCAAATGCCATTGGGAATCCTGTTACTGTGAAATTGGGGAAATGATTGCTATGTTGGCAGTTGCCATCTCTGCCACATTCTTTGCAGTCTTCTGTTTTTAAGTAGGAACATGTGGGATGGTTTGTGCACACTGGCCATGGGGAAAAAGTGCTCGTGGGTATGCCAGTTTTACCTGTGGTCTGAGGCTGTTAGTCTTTCCCAAGGGGGGGGACTCAGTAAGCTCTGTTTTCTGTTCTTGTGCAGAGTCAGGGACCCAGAGCAGTTGCCAATGACTCAACTTTACTGTGTGTTGTATTTCCTAATTCTACCTAGAATCTAGGGTTTGCCTTTTTGTTTTGTTTTTTTGTTTTGAGACAGAGTTTCACTCTGTCACCCGGGCTGGAGTGCAATAGCTCGATCTCAGCTCACTGCAGCCTCCACCTCCTGGGTTCAAGCAATTCTCCTGCCTCAGCCTCCTGAGTAGTTGGAATTATAGATGCCCACCACCACGCCCGGCTAATTTTTGTATTTTTTGTAGAGACAAGGTTTCACCATGTTGGCCAGGCTGGTCTCAAACTCCTGACCTCAGGTGATCCACCCGCCTTGGCTTCCCAAAGTGCTGGGATTACAGGCGTGAGCCACCGCGCCCGGCCTGGCATTTGTTTTTTTAAAGCACCCTATGGAGTGAACCTGGGAGTGGTTTTGTGCATGAGAACCCTGGAATCAAACTGTCAGATTTGCATGTTGATCAATTACTTGGGGCAAGTTTCTCTCTGTATTTTTCTCCCATCTGTGAAACGACAACTATCAGGGAGTTGTGATCAAGAAAACTGTAACTACATAGTACATTCCCAGCACAGAAGTGCTTGACAAGGCTGGGAGTGATGGCTCACACCTGTAATCCCAGTACTGTGGGAGGCCAAGGCAGGTGGATCACCTGAGGTCAGGAGTTCGAGTTCAGCCTGGCCAGTAAGGAGAAACCCTGTCTCTACTAAAAAATACAAAAATTAGCCAGGCATGGTGACACCATCTGTAATCCCAGCTACTTAGGAGGCTGAGGCAGACCAGGAGGTGAAGGTTGCAGTGAGCAGAGATTGCACCACTGCACTCCAGCCTGGGCAACAGAGCGAGACTCCATTAAAAAAAAAAATGTTTATCACTTGTAGTCCATTTTGCAAGTGAGAAGGGCATTCATGGGCACATATGTCGATGCAGTAGAGCATATGAAATCAGGGTAAACACCTTCTTAGATGTCTTAGAATTAGTGCAAAGAAGTAACCCTTAGAGAGGCAATGTGGTATGGGTTCCAGAAGGCTGCATTTTAGCACCAGCCTCATTAACCACTATTTTCCGACGTGTCTTTAGGCCGCAGTTTCCTTGTCTGTTAGATGAGGGGGTTGGCCCAGATCACCTAAGGAACTTGAAACAAAAATCAATCCCTGAGCTCCATGTCCCAGAGTTTCTAACCTGGGGTGGGACTGTGCATTGGAAATTATTTTCAGATTTCCCAGAGTTCTAAATGGACAGCCTCAGTGGAGACCACCAGCCTAGCTTAGCTCTCAGATTTCAGCTGCGGCTTCCTAGTGTGTGTGTGAGTGTGAGGCATGTGTGCAGCAGTACTGTTGACACTTGGTTTCTTGACGGTGTGTGACGAGTAACCCTTTGCAGTTTTACTGAAGGAGACCCAAGTTGAAAGGCAAGCATGGTGAGCCTTGCACAGGGGAACAGTCACCTGCCTGGATGTTCTGACTTTGGTAACATGGAATGGAGCCTTAAGCAGGTCAGGGTTCTAGTGTGAAACAGAAACCACCCTAGATAAACGTAAAAAAGGAAAAGAATTGGTGTTTGAAGTGTTGGGAGCAACATTGTGGAAAGTTCTTGAAAGTTTAGTAACTGTAGGGAAGCCACTAACACTGTGTCCACTCATCCCATCCATCAATCCTTCAGTCGTTATGTCCATTTTTAGGTGATAGTAGCTTCAAGTTCGGTCTAACCTGACTATTTGACATCTTAAGTGATAAATTGTATTTATGTAAATTAGTAGGAGAAAAGTTGGTTCATATCTGCAAACATGTATATATGTATGTATGTGTGTATATCTATATATGAAGGAATAACATGCACATAGCTGCCACAGTTCTTGTTTCTGTACGTGATCACAAGGCTGTGGAGGGTGTTGGCTTAAAGTCTTTACTGCCCCTTCCAAGTTCCACTCACCCTTTGCCAGCACTTCATCTGTTGGGTGGCCTGAACCTTCATTTGTGAGGGGTCTGAGTCTTTAGCAGGCCTAAGGTCACTGGGTTGTGGTCATATTCAGTTAGTTGTTTCTCAAGACCAGTTTTTCTTTTTTCTTTTCTTTCTTTCATTTTGGAGACAAAGTTTCACTCTTGTTGCCC